TGTCAGCATAGGGTAGATAACGCATATGGAAACTTCAACTTTATAGAAACTTGATAATGACAAACGAGTAGAGCTGTGGGGTATAAAATCCTGGGTTCTTCCATATCAGGCACACTTGCTTGAATAAACCCTTGATCTCACAGCTCTGGCTCCTTTCTTGTTTCAAGGTAAGAAACATTTAAACTTATTCTTGTTTAACTTGTTATTTCTTTGTAATTATCGTCTAGAAAATGTTAGAGTTAGGTTAGAAACATTCCTACAACATTGAAGCACTTTGTCATTGCAAATGCTAGCTCTAGATAACCGATTAATTATTAGGCACTACCCAGGGATATTTATTTATGCACATTGCGTCGTGGGCTCCTCAAGTTTATGTTTTTCATGTACAAACGAATATTTCTTTTCTATGTTTCGACACACATGTGTGTATTCCCAGTCTTTGTCTTGTTTTATTCATTTGCGTGTTAGATCTGTATATGCAGGTTAGATTCCCGTTCAGTAGCCTAGATTCTAGTAGCTTAGTCACAAAAACAGTTCCGAGAGTTTATACAATCATTTCCAGCAAAGACGAAGTTTATGTATTTTACTATAGTCCGCCGATCAAATTATAGTCGTGTAGATTTACCTCAGATACGCGCTCACATGATAGGTATAACAGCCAACATTTGTGTTTTGATATTTCACCAACACTATAAGAATTTGAATAATGATGTATTAAACGTTCCGTTCCGCGTGCAGTTGTATACCGTACAAAACAGTTTATACGCGAATCACATTACCGTAATCAGTAGAAAATGGTATTGTCTACTCTTCATATTACCAGAAAATATACATTCAAATCCGTGTAGTTTGCAATTACAGTCTTCGTTCCGTACTTGTTTAGCTCCGTAATTTAAGAAATACGCGTAGCCAATGACAACAGCGCCGTCCTAGTACATTATTACATATTCATTTAACTAAGTTACTGTCTTGTTTTGTAAAGCACAAAATGTAGCACTACAGCATTACATATATTCTAGGTCATGGCTTAACTCCGTATAGGTCGAAATTACACGTTGCCAATAGCAACATCACCGTCGAAATACATTTACCGTAGTCACCCAAATAATTCAGGATGGGACAAAGTAGTATTACTCTAGCTAAAACTATATCGTCTGTCCCCGTAGTTACACATATTTATATCACTCTCTAGTTCCACTTACCGTATCTACCGAAATTATTGTATTGAGAAAATAAATGTTAACATTACAGTTAGAATGCGTACAGTCAATACCGGAGTTAAATGGTATATGTCAAATCTGAGCACTTCGCGCCGTTTACCGTATTTGCTCAAGGCATGTATGTTGATAACGGAAATTACTTACACAAGTCATAAATCGTTACCGTAGTTAATGCATTAAGCGCGACATACCGTAATAATAGTAAATTCCTACCGTAGTCAATACACTAAGCGCAACATACCATAATAGTCATAAATTCCTACCGTAGTTAACGCAATAGGCACTACATACCGTAATTGTCATAAATCGGTACCGTAGTTAACGCATTAGGCGCGACATAACGTAATAGTCATAAATCCGCACAACAGTTAATGGACTAGGCACTACATGCTGTAATTAAACTGTTGGGCGCTCCCCTCAGTACTTGTTCTTTGCAATTGTTGTTGATGATTAATTCATCCGTCAGGTTATGTTATTTATCAGTACCGTAGTTACTCAAGAAAATGTTATTATTTGTATTATGTTTCTGTAAGCAGTTACCGTACATACCCTGTTGTACCACACATTGCTTATATTACCGGACTTAGATATAAACTGTATTAGGATATCATTGATTATTATTTCTATTATTGTATGTCATTATTATGTATGAACTGATGTATATTGAATGTCATGCAAGGACACTTGCTTGAATAAACCCTGGATCTCATAGCTCTGGCTCCTTTCTTGTTTCAAGGTTTCAAGGCTTGCTCCCTATAGCTAATTCCCCAAATCGAGGCCTGACAGCACCTTTAGCACACATAGCGCTAAAGGTCGTCCTAACGGACACAAAAAGAAAAGCTGTCTTACATATAACGTGAGCCTTCGTGTCGTCGAAGTGGATCTATATGTACAAACTTGTGTAATGGACTGAATATGATTTCAAACAATTATGAATATATTATGTTTAAGCAGATATGAACATCAGGGATAGATGTGTTCTAACACCCTGCTTGAAATCTCCCCCTGGGACCAGGGCCCAGTTCCACAAGCGATCGTACTGCTACGACAAAGTCCCTTTCTAATACAAACACTGCTTACTGCGACAGGAAATCTACCCCTTTTTATCACAAGCCACAGGCGCCATATTGCTGGAATATTGCTGAGTGCGGCGTAAAACTAAACTCACTCACTCACAATATCACCACCCTCTCTCCATTGGTGATTCATATCAATACGCCCCGTGTATTCTGGCCGTTACAGCTGTCTATGATGAGTGAGTGAGTGAGTTGGGTTTTATGCTGCTTTTAGCAATATTCCAGCAATATCACGACGATGTACGCCAGAAATGGGCTTCACACATTGACCCATGTGGGGAATCGAGAGACCCGGGTTTGGGGCGTGACGAGCGAACGCCTTAACCACTACGCTACCCCGCCGCCCCTGGCTGTGATGAGGATGTTTTAGCGGCAATGTGTGCGCTCGTATTATCGTCCACTGATTTTCCTGACTCACATTTGAAATCATGTATCCCCGCATAAATCAATAGTGATTAAACGCCATTTGTTTTGCATGTGGAACGATGAGAGTGATAAATTCTATTACATAATAAAGGTAGTCGGTGTCAGCCCGATCTGTCGACAAATGAAAAATAGGATGTTGCTAACCGTCGACAAAACAAAAAACCCGGAGTGTCGACATCGCGTGGTGAACATACCGTGACGGTGTTAATTAATGAAAGAGAATGTTTGCTTAGCGGTTTGCAAGTGGCTATGGCGGCTACAGCTATGCTCGTATCATGAGTAAATGAATTAAGTTGATTAAAAAGAATGTCTTTTTAACAATTTGCAAGAGAATTAAGGTTGCAAAAACAGACTATTATTTTACGTTATGCGAGTGGAAGGATTACCATTTTGGAGTTTAACATGCAACAACATCCGGAAAGAAACAGAGAGCTTACAAATTATTTTGTGAGATTGGAGTAGAAGGATTATCGAAATGCTGTTGTAAACATTTAGCATTTGGGTATATATTATAGATCATGTTTATTTTGTTACCACTGTCAAAATGGCAAACGCTATGGTGCGCGTTACATTGATTGACAACATTCATGGAGGTCAGAATCTTTACCACAATGGATTCAAGTACAGAGTCAACAGACGCAGAGCTCAAAAAACATACTGGAGATGTACAGATGCAACCTGTCCATATATACAGGTTGTGTTTGAAATAGACAAACGTGCCAGTGTTGTAACACGATAACGGCAAAGATAAGAAGAGGTTGTTATCAGAGATAATGGCGACTGAAGATACACAGCACCTCATTTGTGAGGGTTATTGGCCAGCTTAGAAAAAATAAATAATTGTAAAGATCTATATTTATCTTCTTTAAAATAACAATAAAAGAGTTCCTTCCTTTCTTGTAATGACATATTTTTCAGGGGTGGACTATTACTGGTTTATTCTTTTGCAGAGTTCAGTCCCTTATATGTGCCAGGATCAGATCAACGTTAGTTCGAATCCTGAGTATTAACATAGGTCGGTCTGTGTCATTGCATGTGAAGCCCATTCCTGGTGTCCCCCGCCGTGATATTGCTGGAATATTGCTAAAAGCGGCGTAAAACTAACTCAGTCACTCACTCACTGTGTCATTGCATCTATAATAGGTTTTACATCCAATAATTAAGCGTCGGTGTCAATCACCTTCAGATCTTCTCCCAAATCAAGCTGAAATAAGTTTCATACAATAACTGAATTAGCAACTCCCTATCACTGCAGACATATTGTTCAGGCGCAAATATTTTTTCTGGAAGGGTATGTTACTCTGAACAAAAACAACAATAACAACCAAATTTAACTGCTAAATGAGTAGCCCCAGTTCACTATACAGAGTTGCGTCCCTTAGTCACAACAGAAACCGGTGACTGTGTGTTCGTCTAAGACAAACCTTGCTGGTTTCAGTTGGTAATTAACAGGTTAAATGCCAGTGTGTAAACTATGCTGGAACAATCTATTGAGTTCAGATCTATATATGTTTAATTGTTCCAACTAATTATAATTCTAACAAGTGACTGGTGGAGCTTGTCATTTTTCCCCAGAAGGAAGATATTTGTTACAGAGTTGCATCCCTTGAGCGTGCCAGGATCATGTGATAGTGTGATTCGCATTTGTCATGTTTACATGTATTATGTCGGAAATAGTTCCATGTCCTTTGACGCTATGAAATAATCAGCATCAAAGACATGTATCCAAGACCTACATCAAAGACATGTACCCGTGAAGGTCCGGGTTAGAATATTGATCTTCTGTAACCCATGCTTGTTGTAAGAGGCGACTAACGGGATCGGGTGGTCAGGCTCGCTGACTTGGTTGACACATGTCATCGTATCCCAACTGCGTAGATCGATGCTCATGCTGTTGATCACTGGATTGTCTGATCCAGACTCGATTATTTGCAGACCACCGCCATATAGCTGGAATATTGCTGAGTGCGGCGTAAACTAAACTCACTCACTCACTCACTCACTCACTCACTCAAAGACCTGTATCAATGACCTGTATCTGTACATTCCTCCTACATTAACTGATACGCTGGTAATAAGGCGTATTGTTCATCAGCACACACTCCATCACCCAGGGCTTATTCTAGTGGTTAAGGCGTTCGCTCGTCGCGCCGAAGACCCGGGTTCGATTTCCCACATGGGCATAATGTGTGAAGCCCATTTCTGGTGTCCTCCGCCGTGATATTGCTGGAATATTGCTAAAAGCGGCGTAAAATTAAACTCACTCACTCACTCTTACCTCATAGGCACTTGTAAGGTTGAGCTTGTGGAAGAATGGCAGAAACACGTGGTTAGTGATGACAGCGGTTGGTATCATTGCCCAGGAAGCGATCCAGAAACTGGTATTATTGTTGTACATCTCCGTAGGAGTACCGAGCACAGTGATGGCGGACATGAAACTAGCCATCAACGACATCGCGATTGGAAACACACCGATGTCCCTACCACCCATCAAAATATCGTCCGAAGTGGCCTTTTTGGCAGCCCTTGCCTCACGAATCATATAAAATGCTCCGATTCCTGCTGAAATCACCAACATTATCACAAACAACAAAATGTCCGGCCACCCAAAACTTCCCACTAGCTCGCCGGGACACAGTTCGCATACCTTCTTGCAAATGTCGTCGTTTTCGGTCATCTTGGATTTTGACGTCGTGTCTTTTTAGTAAAATAATGTCGATAATGTCTACAGAATATAGACTGACGCTGTAGAAATCAAAAGTCGCAACATCGTCGTTTTGTCATAAAGTTCCCGATGTTCGTGACAGCTACTTCTGTATATGATGTAGACGAACATCCGTGTTTGTAATTTTATAGCTGAGGGTCAACGATTTGACCCAAAGTGCGCTGTCCCACCCACCTTTGGTCATATAGTAGATCTTCACAGCGGCAGACAAGCGATAGCAATGTCCTGTCAATCACAGACGGAATGTAGGTTAGATTTCCAAATTCACTGTAAGGCAGTCATTGAAATGTACATTGTCTTGTCAATTTCACTCCCACAAGCATGAATCACTGCCATGTCTTCCGGTTTACTCCTGTCCTCTGTACAGCAGCCTGAAATGTACATGGATCTTGGTTGTCGATTTCTCACCTTGTCAATTTCATCGAAGTGAAATGTACACGCTGGCATGCGGTATGTTCCTTTATGAAACAAATCCACGAATTTTGAACGTTTTAAGATGAATCGAAATCAAAACATGTCAGTGTCGCCCTGCTTTGTCGTATCCACAGTCTCTTATCGCACATTCGTGTGTCCCCAGATACGAAAGTCACAGATAGAGACAGATTAGAAAGGTAAATATGGCTCACCTCAGCTGCAATCACACCGAAAAGAAATCGGGTGTGGGTTTATTCGAACTGCTGATAAAGGCGACAGGAGTATCATGAGTATTTATTATGTTTAATCGGAAGTATAGTTTTGTTTGCTTCTGTTCAAATGATAGTCCTTGTATTCTAGGTCTTCAAAACCGAAAAAAGATATATTTTTCAAACTTACGGTTTATAGTTTTCTAAAAGCTTAGAAACAGAGATGTTGTTAGCCCTGTACTATCGTCGAGTGAGTGAGTGGGTTGGGATTTTTGCCGTTTTCAGCAATATTCCAGCAATATCACGGCGGGAGACACCAGAAATGGGCTTCACACATTGTACCCAATACTATTATCGATAGTCATCAAGAGAGAAATTTGTCGATCTTATGTCAGATAGAAATCTTGCCTAAAGGCTAATAAATATCAATGTTATCATATGCTGTAAAACGCACATCACTGTATAATATAATTTACACAATATGATATACAATTAGTGTATCCGGGTTAGAATTGATCTTCAGCAACCCATGCTTGTCGTAAGAGGCGACTAACGGGATCAGGCTCGCTGACTTGGTTGACACATGTCATCGTATCCCAACTGCGTAGATCGATGCTCATGCTGTTGGTCACTGGATTGTCTGTTCCAGACTCGATTATTTACAGACCGCCGCCATATAGCTGCGATCAGCAATGTGTTTGGCAGCCTGTCAGATTTACTGTGGTAGTAATTTCGGCTCATTTTGGTAGATCATGACGGCTCAGTTTAATTAAATCGCAAACACATATGACAGTATCAGATCGTGTTTCAATATTGCGTCAAATCCACTTAATAAGGATTGCCCAAATAAATAATTATTACCAAAGTGAATGTATACATTATACATAAAAAATTGCTAGGCCAGAGTCACATTTCCCTGCCATCCTTCCGGGTACCCATTAACTGCTTAGTGTGCAGAGGCATTTAAAGCAAATTTTTTTCGAATATGCAACTATGCCACCGCCAGAACTGTGTTAATATGATGTCGTTTTTATTAACGGTGGTCAGTAATTTTCTGCTTTAAAACCGCCAGTAAGCTATATTTTAACTGGACCAGAACAAACGTTATGAATTGTATTTCAGCTCTGAGGCTGACCCCTATGTCCCACTGACCCTTGAGTAGATGACACAAATGGTCAGGTTGATAGCGATTAGATGACTTCAGGTCACGAGGTGGTCTGTCCGACAGTTGACGAGGGGTCAGTCGAATACACCAATCAAATCGGATATTTATCTTGCTAAGCTTGGGTATTACTATGTCATATTATACAAAGCCATGACCATTAGCCAAGAACGTGTCTTCCGTCACATCCTCTTCCCACAGAGGTTACTAAAGTCATGGGGCGCGGTGATCCAGCGAGGTTGAGGTGTCGGGATCGAGCCCACCTGTGACCTGGTGTAAAAAACCTTGGAGTCAACTTTGTGTGCAGTCTCTTTCAGAGTTGTCACAACCCCTAGTGTACAGTACACAACCCCGTGCACTTAATTCCGTTGGTATATGACCAGATGGTGGCCACATGAATACGTGCAAACACCTAGTTGCGGGTACAGCAACGTGCAGTGAACTTGGACAAAGTACTGTAACTATGTGTCCCAGTCCACCCAGCTGTGAATGGGTACCTCGTTAGGATGAGAAAGCCACAATAACTCGGTGCGCCTAGTGGCTGCAAGAGTTGCATACTCCCCAGGGAGTTGAGATTGATAATACGATGTGCCGTTGAGATTGACATCCAATGATCGAGTGAAAAAATACCAGCGCCTTGAGCAAGCACTATTTGCCTGAATATGTGCGCTATATAAATATCGTTTAATAATAATAATATAATAATATCTTCTAAGTCATATGACTTAAGTAACCTCTGTGGGAAGAGAAAGCTTCGGTCAATGAGTTGAGTTAAGTTGGGTTTTACGTGGCATCGGCATTATTTCAGCCATACAGCGACGAGACCAAGCCTTTATTCATACACTTTTATCGCCATATAGCAGGAACATTGCTGAGCACGGCGTCAAATTATACTCACTCACTCACTCACTCACTTATACACATTTAAGTACAAAGTTTAAATGAGATTTTTTTTGCTTTCAGTTTTTTGCTTTTTATTTTTATTTATTTACGTTTTTAATATATACATATTTTTTTAATCCGTCAAGATTGATATTCAAGACAATCACTGGTAACAGTAACCAGGTGGATTCATATATACCATTCTCGGACAGTGTTGTGACCGGTAGCACAGACATACAACATTACATATGTTTGACCATCACAGAAAATGTGAAGGATGGGAACTACGGGATATTAGTAAACTATGATATTTACAGGATTTGTTTTTATTTACACCACGTTAAAAATCTGAAGGAATTTTAGTGATTGAATATGGTTTTATGCCGTTTTAGCAACACTCCAGCAATAGCACGGCGGAGGACACGAATTTTAAAACTTAAAACCGTCTCCAATGATTCCTATGACGTCAGCTATGGGGTCGGACATGTTTTCGGTGTGCTCCCAAGAAGTCATGTAAAAGGATGTAAAAACCACCCTTAAACTGATTCCGGAGTAGTGATATCATGGAATACATATTAGAAAGTGACTTTTGATTCACAGGTGCTGGGTTTTGTGGGATTATGTATTCAAACTTTCTTGGATGGAGTTGGATTGTGTTTGGAACATTTTCAACGAGGTAAGGATAGTTGTCGCCATTGTGGATGTTCACCCAATCCCCGCTCGCATTCACTGAACTATGTGCTTTACACTATTGAAAAAGCACTTTTAAACTAACCGAGCGATATAAATGGTCCAAAAAATTGGTGAAAACTTCTACTCATGAAATTGCCTGCTTTATAACATTTTCTCGTCAGGCCTGTCCATATGTCTAAAACGGCTCAACAGAAAAGATCGAGATATTCATCCAATACATCTGGGTCGTCTATCAACAGTCACAGTGACAATTTACCCAAAAGGTTACGCAACGTCTCTGACGGCTCGGTGTTTTCGTGCGACACGACCTCTGATATTGACTTCCCTGGTTTACCTAGCCCAGGTGTGATCCGTGAGAACCTATCAAGAATGTCGCTGTCGGGAGACTGTGATATAGTTTCCAGTGTAATAACTGCAATGCTTTCACCTAATGTACTTATGAAAATTGCAAACGCTGTCTCTGAAGTTTTGCTACCGCAAATCAATGAAACGGTGAAAGAAAAACTGTTAACACATGACCAGAAAATTATTCAGCTGGAAAGTGAAATTCTGCATCAAAATGACAAAATTGACGAATTAGAGCAATACTCTAGGAAGAACAATATCCGGATATTTGGGTGGAAGGAAGAGCGCGACGAGACAACTTTTGATATCGTCCGTACTATTGGGGAGACGATCGGGGTTGATGTATCAAACAATGATATTGAAATTAGCCATAGGATCGGCAATCCAGCCAGTTATTCAGGCACTAAACCAAGACCTATTGTGGTGAAATTTCTACATTACCAGAAAAAAACAGGAATTCATAAACAACCGCCCAAAACTGAAGGGATCAAAGTTTTCAAATAAGATCTTCCTCAATGATGATCTGACCAAAGCTCGATCTAAAATTTCTGCCCGATGTAGGTCTCTCCTTAAAGATGGCAAGATCAATGGCACCTGGACTAAAGGTGGTGTGATCTTCGTCAAGAAGGACAACCAACTACTTCGAATATCCAAACTCAGCAGTTTTCCTCAACTTGAAGAATCTTTGAGGTTAAAAGTGGTGGTCAAATTGTCTCAAATTTCCGAGGATGTGGGTGACATGGGTGAAGATGATAAGATGTAACTGTGCGAACATCTGGAGAACTTGCAGCCAAATTATATGTTGTTATTTGATTCTCTTGTAACAACCGCGTTAGCACACGATTTGACGGTGCTGTGTTTCCATGTGACCTTTCGAGTACGATAATTGTAACACGCCTGATGCATAGTAAACTCTCATTGGATGACCTTTTGTTGTCACGTGGGGAAGTCGCGTGTTGAATTTTCATTCATGTCTACAGATCCAATCAAAATGTGTTTCTTCTTCGGGCTCCTCCCACTTCTCGATTTCATTTCACCGTGCTAGTGCACGAGCGTAGATGATTGTGTCAGATTTCTCCAGGCGTGAGAAACCAGCACTATGTTCATGGAATTGTTCTTATGCTTGGTTGACACAATCCTCAACATTATTATGTACCATACTCTTTTGTAGCAATAGTGCCAGCGTACAATATTGACGAAGTTATGTTTTGATGTGATCCATCGTGGACGATATTGTAACACGCATGGTGTGTAGTTGACTTTCCTTGGATGACCTTTTGTTGTCACGTGAGGAAGTCGCGTGTTGTCTTTTCATTCATGGCCACATATCCAAACATAACGTGGCTTATTTGCTTGTTTGTTTTGGGGGGCCTTTTTCTTGTTTTGTTTTTTGTTGTTGTTTTTATTGGGTCGCTCCCACCTACTGAGTTCATTCTTGGCCGCGCTCATGCACGAGTTTACCAGATTTCTCCATAGACCCAGGTACTACGTTTATGTGTGGATTGGATGATACAATTCGTAATAATATTTTGCATCATTCCCTCTTTTACTTAATACTATTCTCAAGATATATTCAAGGACTACTCGCTGAAACCCAGCGCCATTTATTTGTTTTTGGTGTAATGCAATTTATGTTATTTGACTTTTACACTGATACATTACACACTCAGAGTGACACTATATGACTTCTACATTGACACATTACACACTCAGAGTGACATTATATGACTTTTACACTGACACACTACACACTTAGATTAACAGTTTATTTGTTGTAATGTAATTTGTGTTATATGACTTTTACACTGACACATCACACACTCAGAGTGACAT